GGTTCTCTCCTGTCTCTGCCTTCAGGGAGCCAGGGTTTCATATGAGAGCTGCCCTGTCTGACATTTTACCCAGGTATTGGGACCTAAACTCTAGTCCTCATGTTTGTCAAGCAGTGCACTTACTAAGTAGGCCATCTCCTCAGTCCTTCTCCAAACATTTTGATCCATGTCAAGTATAAGAAATAAATGAGAGATTATGATGCCACTACAGTCATTTATAAAAGCAAAATGCTACTATAAGACTTCACCTTCTTTTTCTTAGCCCTCCAAGTGTATCTTATTGCAGTATCCTTTATATTATTATAATACATGCATCTTGCTTTCATTCTGAATTATGCTTCAGAATGAGTTCATTGCCTCACATTGCATTCCAACATGTGATGGTAAATCATATGGTGTATGTGCATTGTTCCCTCACCTCATCTTCAGTCTGGAAATTCAGATATTGTTTTTGCCAGTTTACATGACAGAGAACTGAGATTTAAACAATACACATGCAAGATACTCACTATGAGTTTGCAGACTGAATGAGTCAAATATTTATAGATGACCCTTGAGGGATGCTTAAAGACCATAGGAAGAAATGCCTGTGGGCTTAAACCCTGGCTCTACTTCTCACCAATAGCAAGATGAAGAGTGTGTTATTTAAATCTTCTTAAATCATAGAGTTCTTGTCAACATATTTCTTTAAAATATGGTCACCTGGATGGCACTTTTCAAATGTAGATAGAAAGTATGTACTCTTCAGCTCTATGTCTCTGATTACTAAAGATGCTTTTGCCCATGTGGTTTTTGCCTAGATAATTTACAGTGTAAACTCTGTCAATCCTATTCAATGCAAACTCCTAAGTTCACTAAGGAATTCACATGAAAATATCTTCACTTTAAAAGGTTATGTATGAGGGCAAGTTCAAAGGGCATGATACACTTGAATAGTAATTATTTATGAAGCTCATCAATATGTATAACTGCTATATGTCAAATAAAGACATTTCTAAGTGGTGCTGGAGAGATAGCTCAGCAATTAAGAGCACTGGATGCTCTTCCAGAGGACCTAGGTTTTATTCCTAGTACCAACAAGACAGCTTTCAACTGATCATAACTCCAGCTCCAGCTGAACCAATGCCCTATTCTGGCCTCTAAAGGCACCAATTATGCATGTGGTGCATTGAAATACTAACAGACCAAACAATATTACAACAAAAACTGAGTATTTAAAAATCTTTTAAAGATTCTGTATTTGTTTGCATATAGTGGATGCATATGAAGTCTGTTTTGATAAAGTCACAACAGCCTTGAGTCTGCCCTGGTAGGAAGTGTAAATTCTGGTATCTCATCCAGGTCTATAAGAGGATTTCCAAAAGTCAACCTTTATTCAGTAACTACAAGATCAGGACAGCTGGGGCACTGGCCTCCATGAGCTCTCAGGGTTCTAGGTTGTTCATCTCTGGTTTCTGAATAAACACTAGAACTGGCATGTTCTAGTCATGCTGGCAGTTCAATGTCCCTCTTCCGGGAAGATTCTCATTACTTTGGTTCACATTGCATTGGCTAAACCACTTCATCTGCTCTCGGGAGTTAAGGGAAATGTCATATCCCCAAAGGAGTAGAATTTGGTGAACTTTAACAATGTCTATTGTAGGGCCAAAAGGAAGACGATTAGTGAAGAGTTCTGCATCTTGTAGGTACTTAGGAAATATTCTGCTTAAGTTAATGGTCAAGGATGTTACTAAAGCCAAAATTCAGATAATTTAAAGGACACACATATACATATGAAAGTAGCTTGATTTACCATAAATTCTTCTTTATTTGTGGTGCCTGTGTGTGTGTGTGTGTGTGTGTGTGTGTGTGTGTGTGTATACATATGAATATACGTATAAATGAGTATATATGTGGAGCCAGAGGTTGACATTATTAGATGTCTTCTTGGACAAATATCCATTTCACTATTGGAGCAAGGTCTCTCACTTGAACCTGAATGTCATTAATTTGGCTAATCTAGCTTGTTTTGGGGACCAGTATGTGGTAATATATTGTTCATGATCTACTAAAGCGACTGAAGATCAGAATGCAAAGCTAGCCATAGCTTTAGAATCTGGGCAGTGGTGGCACACACATTTAATCCCAGGACTCAATAGACAGAGGCAGATGGATCTCTGTGAGGTCAAGGACACTCAGGATTTCATAATAGTAAATCAGTCTAAAAGAGAAACAGCTCATGCCTTTAATCCCAGCACTAGACAGTATATAAGAACCTTGGTGCAGTCTGAGAAACCAATATAGGATTCTGAGGATTGGTGGAGAGCAGTGCAGTCTGGAGATGCAATCTGAGGTTCAGTGGCTTTAATAGATTATAAACAATACATCACTACACCAATCCCATCTCCACTTCTGAAGGCAAGTCACCATGCTCACTTGGCATTTTTATGGGTGTTAGGCATTCAAACTGTGGTCCTGATGGCTTTTGTGCCAAGCACTATACTTACTGTCCCATGTCCTTATGCTACATTGTCTTTTTAAAAATAATATCCATTTATGTTTTTCTCCTCGTCTTAACTAAATATGATCACAAAAAAGATATCAATTAGCTACACTTTGTGAGTCTTTTGGCACTCTGGATAAGTATGGCTGTAAGAACTCTCACAGTTGTGGAAATGACAGAGTATACCATATTCTAGATGTTTTCAAGCCTATATAATGTTTGGAGAAAGTATAATCACGTGGAATGAGATCATTGAGATATAAATACTTCATATTTGTGAGCAGATTTTCTGTTAGAAAGTGTTTCAGCAATTCTCTAATTCCATTCCCAAAGTGACCTTTCGAAGTTGGCAAGGCGATTGTCTTCCTATTTCAGAAATGAAGTGACTGAGGTGCAAAGAGGTCAAAGCCATATTCATGTTTACAACTATTAAATAGCTGTGTTGGAAACAGAAGTCAAAATTCTTGACCTACAGCTCAGTTTCCTATCAAATTCCACCTAATCGTACAACTGGGCAAACCTAAGTCCATTTTGCTGAGATAACTACCCTTCAGTGAGTCTAAATACAAAGTGTTGTTGCAGTGCTTCAATTTCCTTGTGCTTTCAAACAAGCCATATCCAACTCAGAAGCTTACTGTGCAAGACAAGTTGAAATCAATTCAAGCAGTGTTTTACAAATAAGATTCAATCTAGTTGTAGATCAGAGATAAATAAAATATCTCAAGCTAACTGATTCAGGATTCATGGTAACTTTCACCTCTCCTAGAACGGGCTGAAACTTCAATCTGACATTGGCTTCATTTCTTGTGCCACAGTGCTTCCGTAATAAGGGGGGGGGTGGCAAAGGGCAGTCACCTTCTTGGAGAACTTCTAAGTCAGTTTACATAGTCACACATGACCACATTCATAAGTTCAGAGACAACGCCAGAAGGATTGAAATGAAACCAATGACTTTAAGATGGGTAGACTTTGAAATTGTCCAACATAAATCAGGAGGGTGTCTTTGAATTAACTAGCTTGAGAAACAATTCGACAAAAATAAATAAGCCCTCCAGCTACTTTTTGTCAATTTGGTTGTCATTCACTTTCAAAACTGGAGGACTCATTTCTTTATACTGTTTAAACATCATGGCAATTTCTATTTACTAAACAGGAAAAAATATAATTAATTCCTAAGTGCTCCATCTCTTCTTTAGAGCACTTTAGCCCAGCTTCTAGCAGAATTGCCTATGCAAAATAAGCATATTGTTTGGCAACGGTTTTGTTTATGAACCTGCAGCTCCCTCCTTTGGGAAATGGTAATGATGATTGTACTTTGCTGAAATATTACAAGTGAAAGACAAACTCGGCAGCACCAGCAAATTATGGGGGCAGAATCCACAACTGAAAAATCCAGAGCAGGAGATAGAAATATTGCTCTGAATAAAGGCATGTGAATTGTCAGTGTGGCACAGAATTTGATATTCTAACTTGATCTCATAGAGAATGAAGGTGAAATAATATCTTCTTTTCCTATCTGGATTTTTAAAAAAGACGAAAAGGATATTCCAATATATCTGAAATAAAAATTTTATCAGATAAAATGTCATTGTTTCTAAAACAATAAACATAGGAGCTTCTAGTCTGACTTTTGTGACCAAATTTGACTCAAGTCAGCATTCTTTCTTCATTCCACAATATATAGAGAATAAAATGGAATTAGCCTTTGAAAATATCCATGTTACAGTAGCTTATCATTTTAACCACAGTCTTGATTAAAATATAATGAGATAGATGTTATTATGGGCATATTAAACTTAAAATCAAGGTCCCACAAATACCAATCAAATGACAAGATCAACAGAGCTTATTTAAGCTCCAAAATCTCCCACTCTTTCCTTTAAACCATGTGTCTATTATAGTGTCACAGTGTTTTATAAAGAGGTGCATAATTATGTAAATGGATAAGCTTATGTTTCTTAAGTCTAGATACTACTAGAAACCAGGTAATTGACTAATAGAAGAAAATATTTTAAAAACCACTTTCCAAATATGAGTAGCCTGAAATAATATATCTTGACTATTTCACGTTCTGAGCTGCCATAAAGGGAACTGTCTTTTTGTTTCTCTATAGGAAGTTACTATCACATGCTCTATCAAAGTTGCCGAGGATGCCAGGCAGTGGTGTTGCACCCCTTTAATCCCAGAACTCAGGAGGCAGAGACAGGCAGATCTCTGTGAGTTCGAGACCAGCCTGGTCTACAAGAGCTAGTTCCAGGACAGCCTCCAAAGCCACAGAGAAACCCTGTCTTGAAAAACAAAACAAAAAGTTGCAGAGGATTCATCCATGTTAAAAGTCCAATATATTATTCTCCACATTTAAATTTTAAGGGTTGCCTATGATTATCTTCTAGAAACCAGAACGTATGCTTTTCTTTTACTTGAAACCACAAAACTATACCTTTTAAAATGTACTTTTCTGCCTTTGATTGCCCCAGATTCACATGTGGACATTGGGAGATGGAGTTCTAGATCTTACCTGAAGATGGCATCCATCCCCAAGTTGTATGTGATTTGAATGAGGACTCTCTCCAAATTTGCAAGCACAGTCATAAAATCTTTTCTACTGACTGGTAAGTTTGTTCCATGTATGGTAAATAACTCTTCTTTGAGTGGTAGCTGATAAATGTGTTCTTCTGTTGGATCCAGATTCACCTCATTATAGACTGTGCTGATTCTCAACATGTTTCCCTAATGGGGGTAAAAAGAAAGTATATATAGATAAAGTATATATAGATAAAATTGCAAGAAATGTACACAAATTATAAAGGTTACCTGAATTTGGAATCTCTATGCCAGATTATCCTCAGGAGGGTTTCAACTTAAGATTGGCTTTCCCAAATATTTTACATGTTTTTGGTGTACGTGAATCAAAGACAAAGCAATGTGAAGATCAGTCCTCATCTCGTAAACTACAAAGTCTTCCATTGTAAGTTTTGAATGAACTTGCTTTCTGTATCAACTAAAATAATAGATAATCTCGTATATATGATTGTATGAACCAAACTAAAATTTGGTTTATACAATCATGCAAATATCCTGTATTTATGGCAGAGATAAGAATTACAGGACAGCTGAGGCAAGCAACCTGCATGCCGACCCAGTTCAGCGGCAGCGGGGTCCATCACCCAACACCCATAGGCAGCCTAGCCTCCATCCACCGGCCCAGGTAGGCCAGGAACTGTTTCTGGTTCCAGTTTGTCATCTCTGCTCAGAGTCATCTGAGGCAAGCGACCTGCATGCTAGACCGAATTCAGCAGTGGCGGGTTCTGAACACCGAACACCGAACACCCAACACCCAGAGGCAGCCCGGCCTCCATCCACTGGCCCAGGCAGGG